TAGACCAAGTGCATCTCCTTGGGGTGCTCCGGTATTATTTGTGAAGAAAAAGGATGGGAGTTTTAGGATGTGCATAGACTACAGACAGTTGAACAAGGTAATTATTAAGAACAAGTATCTCATTCCTCGCATTGGTGACTTGTTCGATCAGTTACAAGGCGCTTGTGTCTTCTCTAAGATTTACTTGAGATCCAGTTATCATCAATTGAAGATACGGGCAACGGATGTGCCAAAAACTGCTTTTCCAACTAGGTATGGGCATTACGAATTTGTAGTAATGTCTTTTGGTCTTACGAATGCCCCTGCTTCTTTCATGAGCTTGATGAACGGGATTTTTAAGCCATATCTGGATCTCTTTGTGATAGTATTCATTGATGATATATTGGTATACTCAAAGAGAAAGAAGGAACATGAAGAGCATTTGAGAATGGTATTGGAAATATTGAGGGAGAAAAAGCTTTATGCCAAATTCTCCAAGTGTGAGTTTTGGCTAGATGCAGTGTCCTTCTTGGGACATGTGGTTTCGAAGGATGGGGTGATGGTAGATCCTTCTAAGATTGAGACAGTGAAGAATTGGGTAAGACCTACTAATGTGTCAAAAATAAGGAGCTTTGTTGGTTTAGCTAGCTATTACCGCCGATTTGTCAAGGGATTCTCTTCTATTGCTTCCCAATTGACGAACTTGACTAAGCAGAATGTTCCATTTGTATGGTCAGATGAATGTGAAGAGAGCTTTCAGAAACTCAAGACTTTGTTGAGTACTGCACCAATCCTTACCCTGCCAGTGGAAGGTAAGAATTTCATTGTCTATTGTGATGCATCCTATTCGGGCTTGGGTGTCGTGCTAATGCAAGAGAAGAATGTAATTGCTTATGCTTCGAGGAAATTAAAGGTGCATGAACGTAACTATCCGACCCATGATTTGGAGTTGGTTGCGGTAGTATTTGCATTAAAGCAATGGAGACATTATCTATATGGGGTTAAGTGTGAAGTATACATGGATCATCATAGCCTACAGTATGTTTTTACTCAAAAAGATTTGAATTTGAGATAGAGGAGATGGATGGAACTACTGAAGGACTACGATATCACTATCTTGTATCATTCGGGAAAGGCTAATGTTGTGGCAGACGCCCGAAGTAGAAAGGCAGGGAGCATGGGAAGTCTAGCTCACTTGCAAGTTTCTAGACGTCCATTAGCTAGAGAGGTTCAGACTCTAGCTAACGACTTGATGAGGTTAGAAGTAAATGAGAAGGAAGGATTATTGTCTTGTGTGGAGGTATGATCTTCCTTTCTTGACAAGATCAAGGGGAAACATTTTGATGATGAGAAGCTAAGCCGAATTCGGGATAAAGTATTGCGAGGAGAGGATAAGGAAGCACAAATCGATGAGGAAGGTGTTGTGAGAATCAAGGGAAGGGTATGTGTACCCCGCATCGATGATTTGATCAACACTATTCTGACAGAGGCTTATAGTTCAAGGTATTCTATACATCCTGCTGCAACCAAGATGTATCGTGACCTAAAACAACACTTTTGGTGGAGTAGGATGAAGTGTGATATTGTTAATTTTGTTGCCAAATGTCCAAACTGTCAACAAGTAAAGTATGAACACCAAAGGCCCGGACGAACACTTCAGAGAATGCCCATTCCGGAATGGAAATGGGAGAGAATTGCAATGGACTTCGTCGTTGGTCTTCCAAAGACGATGGGTAAGTACGACTCTATTTGGGTGATTGTTGATAGGTTAACTAAGTCTGCTCATTTTATTCCGGTTAAGGTGACTTAAAATGCCGAGAAGTTCGCCAAGATCTATATCTCAGAAATCGTTCGATTGCATAGGGTTCCACTATCCATCATATCAGATAGAGGTACGCAGTTTACTTCTAAGTTTTGGAAAATATTGCATGCGGAATTGGGTACTAGGTTGGACCTTAGTACCGCGTTCCATCCTCAGACCGATGGTCAGTGTGAGCGAACGATTCAAGTGTTGGAGGATATGCTTCGTGTGTGTGTGATAGAATTTGGTGGACATTGGGATAACTTCTTACCCTTAGCAGAGTTTTCATACAATAATATCTATCACTCAAGCATTGATATGGCTCCATTCGAAGCATTATATGGTAGGAGATGTAGGTCCCCCATTGGTTGGTTTGATGCATTCGAGGTTAGACCTTGGGATATTGACCTTCTGAGGGAATCGTTAGATAAAGTGAAATCTATTCAAGAAAAGCTTCTAGCGGCGCAAAGTAGGCAAAAAGAATATGCAGATCGAAAGGTTAGAGACTTAGAGTTCATGGAGGGTGAACAAGTGTTGTTGAAAGTTTCGCCAATTAAAGGGGTGATGCGGTTTGGTAAAAGAGGCAAGCTAAGCCCAAGGTACATTGGTCCCTTTGAAGTACTTAAGCGAGTACGGGAGGTGGCTAATGAGTTTGCCTTGCCTCCAGGGCTGTCCGGAGTACATCCAGTATTCCATGTGTCGATGTTGAAAAGATACCATGGGGATGGAAACTACATCATCCGTTGGGATTCCGTTTTGCTTGATGAGAATTTGTCTTATGAGGAGGAGCTGTTGCTATTTTAGATAGAGAAATTTGCAAGTTGAGATCAAGGGAGATTGCATCCATCTAAGTTCAATGGAAGAATCGACCCGTTGAAGAAGCCACTTGGGAGAAGGAGGCAGATATGCAAGAAAGATACCCACACCTGTTTACAGATTCAGGTAGTCCTTTTCGCCCTTGTTTTTCTTCTTACGATCGTTAGAGGACGAACGATGGGTAAATTGGTATCTAATGTAACGACCTGTTTAGTCGTTTTGAGCAGCAAATTTTATTTACGGAAAAACAGGCTGAGACGATGGAACCCACGACGGACCGTCATGAGCACGACGGACCGTTGGGGGGTCTCGTTTCAAAACACTTAGAAATTCTGAAATTGGGTACTGAAAATCGACTCTCTAAATGTCGTAACGGAATGGAAGGACGGACCGTCACGGGCGTGACGGACCGTCACGGGCGTGACGGACCGTCACAGACTCTTTGGTGGAAATTGAGTCTCTGAACCTTGCGACGACCTGCAAGACGGACCGTCGCAGGCACGACGGGCCGTCACAGGTTGTGTAATCCCAGTCTGGATCGGATTTTTTTACACGTTTTAAGGAATGTTTTGGACTATTCCTACTTTAATTATAAAGTTAGTGGGTTTATGTTAATAAGTCTAATTACTTGGGGGTTAAAAGAGGTAACCTTGAGTAAATTAGTGGGTTATTATTGCCATCTTCTATTCTTAATTATATGCTAATTAGGGTAAAAGAAAGAGGGTTTGAATAGGAAAAAAAAGAACAGAAAGAGAGAGAAGCAGAATCGATAGAGAGAGACGAACGAAGAGGAAAAACAAAAGGCTTTGGGAAATTCTTGCTTGATCACTAGTCTTCGGTGGAGGTAGGTTATTGTTTCTTTTACGATATTTGTAGTAAACTCTTAATAGCGAATGATATGTATTAATAATATGGTAAACCTTGCTATGTGCTTAATTGTATGCTTGCATGAATGTAATTATATAATTGTGATTATATAAGCATGATGAAGTTATTGAATCCCAAATCTTGCAAAACCCTAATCTCTTTGTTAATGATGAGACGTTGGTATAAAAGAAGGCGTGATGAACTAAAATAATGAGATTGATGATGCCCTGGTAAGAAAGAAGGCTTGATGAATTGATAGAAGGTGATTTAGGGGATCGGGTGTCACGAACCGACACGTAGAATTAGGGTATCGGGTGTCACGAACCGACACGTAAAATTAGGGGATCGGGTGTCACGAACTAACACGTAAAATTAGGGGATCGGGTGTCACGAACCGACACGTAGATTTAGGGGATCGGGTGTCAAGAACCGACACGTAGAATTAGGGGATCGGGTGTCACAAACCGACACATAGAATTAGGGGATCGGGTGTGACGAACTGACACGTAGATTTAGGGGATCGGGTGTCACGAACCGAAACGTAGATTTAGGGGATCGGGTGTCACGAATCGACACATAGATTTAGGGAATCGGAGTGTCACGTACCGACACAAGAGGATTAATGAATATGAGGGAGCGGAGTGTCACGTACCGACACAAGAGAAATAATGATAATGAAATCTAGAAAGATGTTAATATACTCAATCTAACGAACATAATTACCAAAAGAGTATGGTATTGAGGCTTGAGTCCTCATGTGTGAACTTGACGGTAATTGTTAATGATATAGTACTTGCTGTTGCTACATGTTGAGTATCATAGTTGCTTTTATGATATTACTTGGTATATATTGATTTCTATTTCGAGTTGGCCGATGATATCTACTCAGTACCCATGTTTTGTACTGACCCCTACTTTTATGCTTTCTTCTTGTTTAATTGTGGAGTGCAGCAAATGTGCCGTCATCTTCGAATCAACAGTAACTGTAGCCAGTCTTCATTACTCCGGATATCAGGGTGAGCTAATGCTTCTAGCTTGGACTGGATCTTCCTCTTCATGTCTTGATGCCTTGAAGTTCCGGCATGGACTAGCTTTTACGTGTTTTAGCTTTTAGAATACTCATAGTTTAGTAATTTGATCACAGATGTTTTTGTGGTGATGACTTCCAGATTTTGGGAAATAATAGTTATTGGATTGGTTTTTATTAATGAGTTTAAGTCTTCCGCAGTACTTTATGTTGATAATACATTGAAATGTTAAGGTTTAGATTTGGTTGGTTCACTCACACAGGAGAGTAAGTGTGGGTGCCAGTCGCGGCCCGATTTGGGTCATGACAAATAGTTTCAATAGTTATGTAAAAGAGGCAAACTTCTTCGCTAGAATTGACGTTTAAGAAGGCCTCTACCTTAAGAATTAAGATTTTTCTAGGATGACAGATGAAACATTTTGAAAAAAAATACAACATAATTTGCATGCTAAGAGAACATAAAGAAAGTTCTTGTCCAAGTATATAATATAACTAAGAATAGCATCATACCCTCATAGAGTCAAATGAACGTGTTTTGAGTCCAGAAGGGGCTTCATTCAGATGATTCCTTCATCTTAAAATGGATATCACGAGTATAAAAATTTAATAGGCAATTACATATGATTTATGAGTATGAATATTTAAAACAAAAAAAGTGTGTCTCTCTAATTTGAAGATTTGCACCCTTTTAAATAATATATTTTCTTTATTTATCATGAAGGATAATTTTTTATCAAGATAAATTACATTATTTATAAGAGGAGTTACGAAAAAAGTTACGAGGAGAAGATAAATTGACTAATCGTGTTGTTGTTGTTGTTGTTTTTGTTGCTGTTGTTTTTGTTGTTGTTGTTGTTGTTTTTCCTGTTGTCGCTGTTGTTGTTGTCGTTGCTGTTGTCATTGTTGTTGTTATTATTATTCTTGTTGTTGTTGTTATTGTTGTTGTTGTCGTTATTGTTGTTATTGTTGTTGTCGTTGTTGTTGTTGTTGTTGTTGTGGTTGCTCTTGTTGATGTTGCTACTGTTTTTGCTGTTGCTGTTGCTACTATTGTTGTCGTTGTTGTTAATTTTTTGATGTGTTGCTGTTGTTGTTGTTATTTTTATTGTTGTTGTTATTGTTGTTGTTGTTGTTGTTGTTGTTTTTATCTTTATTGTTGTTGTCGTTATTATTGTTATCATCGTCATTGTTGTTGTTATTTTTGTCATTGTTGTGGTCGTTATTGTTGTCGTCGTTTTTATTGTCGTTGTTGTTGTCATTGTTATTGTTATAGTTGTCATTGTTGTTGTTGTTGTTTTCATCGTTGTTGTCGTTGTTGTTGTTGCTGTTATTGTTGTCGTAGTTGTTGTTGTTGTTATCACTGTTGTTGTTGTTGTCGTAATTTTTGTTGTTGTTGTAGTTGTCCTTGTTGTTGTTCTTATTGATGTTGTCGTTGCCGTTGTCGTTGTCGTTATCGGTGTCATTGTTATTGTCATTGTCGTCGTTGTCATTGTTGTTGTTGTCATTGTTTTTGTTGTTGTCATTTTAGTTGTTGTTGTCGTCGTCATTGTTGTTGTTGTTTTTGTTATTGGTCGTTGTTGTACTGTTGTTGTTGTTATTGTTGTTGTCATCGTTGTTGTTGTACTGTTGTTGTTGTTGTTGTTTTTGTCATTATTGTCGTTGTATTCGTTGTTGTTGTCATTGTTGTTATTATTGTCGTTGTTGTTGTCGTCATCGTTGTTATTGTCGTTGTTGTTGTTGTCGTTGTTGTTATTATTGTTGTTATTATTATTTTTGTTTTTATTATTGTTGTTGTTGTTATTGTTGTTATCGTTATTGTCATTTTCGTTGTTGTCATTATTGTTGTCGTTGTTATTATTGTTATTGTTGTTATTTCGTAATTATTGTAGTTGTTGTTGTTATCGTTGTTGTTGTTGTTGTTGTTATAAATGTCATTGTTGTTGTTGTTGTTATTGTTGTTGTTGTTGTTGTTGTTGTCATTGTTGTTGTTGTCGTTGTCATTGTTGTTGTTGTCGTTGTTGTCATTGTTATGGTTGTTGTCGCTGATGTTGTTATTGTCATGATTGTTGTTGTTGTTTTTATTGTTGCTGCTGTTGTTATCATTGTCGTTATTGTTGTCGTTGTTATTATTGTTGTTGTTGTTGTCATTGTTATTGTTGTTGTTGTGTTGTTGTTGTCATTGTTGTTGTTGTCGTTGTTTTTATTATCGCTGTTATCAAAGTTATTTTTATGGTTGTTGTTGTGTAGTCATTATTGTTGTTTTTTTTGTTGTCGTTGTTTTTGTTGTTGTCATTGTCGTTGTTATTGTTGTTTTTATCGTTGTACTTGATGGTGTTGTCATTGTTGTTGTTATCATTATTGTTGTTGTCGTTGTTTTTGTTGTTGTTGTTGTTGTTATTATTGTTGTTGTTGTCATTGTCGTTCTTGTTGTTGTTTTCATTGTTATCGTTGTCATTGTTATTGTCATTGTTGTTGTTGTCGTCATTGTTGTTTTCATTGTTGTTATTATTGTTGTAGTCATCATTGTTGTTGTCGTCTTTATTGTTGTTGTTGTTGTTGTGGTTATTGTTGTTGTCTTTGTTGTTTTTGTTGTTGTTGTTGTCATCATTGTCATTGTCATTGTTGTTATTGTCATTGTTGTTGTCGTTGTTGTTTTCATTATTGTTGTTGTCGTTGTTTTTGTTGTTGTTGCTATTATTGTTGTTGCTGTCGTCGTCGTCATTATTTTTATGGTTGATATCGTTGTTATTGTCTTTGTTGTTGTTGTTGTTGTTGTCATTGCCGTTCTTATCGTTGTTTTCATTGTTATCGGTGTCATTGTTGTTATCATTGTTGTTGTTGTTGTCGTTGTTTTTGTCGTAGTTGTTATTATTGTTGTAGTCATCGTTGTTGTTGTCGTCTTGTTGTTGTTGTTGTTGTTGTGGTTATGGTTGTTGTCTTTGTTGTTGTTGTTATTGTCATCATTGTCGTTGTCGTCATTGTTATTGTCATTGTTGTTGTTGTCGTTATTATTGTTATCATTGTCGTTGTTATCGTTGTCGTCATTGTCGATGATGTCGTTGTCGTTGTTGTCATCGTTGTCGTTGTTGTTGTAGTTTTTGTTGTATTTATTGATATCGTCATTTTTATCATTGTTGTTATTGTTGCTTTCATCGTTGTTGTCGTTGTTGTTATTGTCGTTATTGATTTTGTTGTTGTTATTTTTGTTATTATTGTTGTTGTTGTAGTTGTAATCGTTATTGTCGTTGTTGTCATTGTTGTGATTGTTGTTGTTGTTCTAGTTGTTGTCGATGTTGTTGTTGTAGCTGTCTTTGTTATTGTTGTTATCGTTGTTGTTATTGTTGTTATTATTGTCGTTGTCGTCGTTATTGCTGTTGTTGTAGTTGTCATTGTTGTTGTTGTCGTCGTTGTTGTTGTTGTCGTTGTTGTTGTTGTTGTCGTTGTCGTTGTTGTTGTTGTTGTTAATGTTGTCGTCGTTGTTGTTGTTGTCATTGTTATTGTTATTATCGTTGTCGTTGTTGTTATTGTTGTTGTTATTGTCATTGTTGTTATTGTTGTTGTTCTTGTTGTTATTTTATTGTTGTTATCGTCGTTGTTGTTGTTGTTGCTGTTGTTGTCATCATTGTTGTTGTTGTTGTCATTGTTGTTGTTGTAGTAGTTGTTGTTGTATTCGTTGTTATTTTTGTCACTGTGTTGTTGTTGTTGTTGGTTTTTTTATTATTTTTGGTGTCGTTGTTGTTGTTTTTGTGATTGTTGTTGTCGTTGTTGTTGGTATTGTTGTTTTTGTTGTTGTTCTTGTTGATATTGTCATTGTTGTTGTTGTCATTATTGTTGTTGTTCGTTTTTTTGTTGTTGTTATTATTGTTGTTGTTGTCGTTGTTGTTGTCGTTGTTGTTGTTAATGTCGTTGTTGTTGTCTTTGTTGTTGTTGTTGTTGTCATTGTCGTTCTAGTCATTGTTTTCATTGTTATCGCTGTCATTGTTGTTGTCAATGTTGTTGTTGTTGTCGTTGTTTTTGTCGTTGTTGTTATTATTATTGTAGTCATCATTGTTGTTGTCGTCTTTATTGTTATTGTTTTTGTGGTTATGGTTGTTGTCTTTGTTGTTGTTGTCGTTGTTGTTGTCATCATTGTCGTTGTCGTCGTTGTTATTGTCATTGTTGTTGTTGTTGTTGTCGTTATTGTTATTGTCGTTGTCGTTGTTTTCGTTGTCGTCATTGTCGATGTTGCTGTTGTCAGTGTTGTCATTGTTGTCACAGTTTTTATTGTATTCGTTGATGTCGTCGTTGTTGTCATTGTTGTTGTTGTTGTAATTATTGTTTTTGTTATTGTTATTTTTTTATTATTGTTGTTGTTGTTGTTGTCGTTATTGTCGTTGTTGTCATTATTTTTGTTGTTGTCGTTGTTGTGATTGTTGTTGTCATTGTTGTTGTTGTTGTAGTTGTTGTCGATATTCTTGTTGTTGTAGTCTTTGTTATTGTTGTTATCGTTGTTGTTATTGATGGTATTATTGTCGTTGTCATTGTTATTGTTGTTGTTGTAGTTGTCGTCGTTATTATTGTTGTCGTTGTTGTTGTTATTGATGTTGTCGTCGTTGTTGTTGTTGTCGTTGTTGTTGTTATTATAGTTGTCGTTGTTGTTGTTGTTGTTGTTGTCGTTGTTGTTATTGTTGTTGTTTTTGTTGTTATTTTGTTGTTGTTGTTGTCATTGTTGTTGTTGTTGCTGTTGTTGTTGTCATCGTTGTTGTTGTTGTTGTCATTATTATTATTGTTTTTGTATTCGTTGTTGTTGTTATTGTCACTGTTGTTGTTGTTGTTGTTGTTGTCGTTGTTGTTATTGTCGATGTTGTTGTTATCATGGTTTTTATTATCGTTGTTGTTATTGTTGTCGTTATTGTTGTTGTTGTTATCGTCATTGTCATTGTTGTTGTTGCCGTTGTTTTTGTTGTTTTTGATGTTATTGTTTGTGCTGTTGTTGTTTCTTTTTTTGATGTTGTTGTTGTTGTTATTGTTATTGTTGTTGATGTTATTGTTGTTGCTGTTGTTGTTATTGTTATTGTTATTAATATTGTTGTTGTTGTTGCTGTTGTCATTGTTGTTGTTATTGTGGTTTTTATTATCGTTGTTTTCGTTGTTGTTGTTATTGTCGTTATTATTGTTGTCGTTGTTATTGGTTTTGTTTTTATCGTCGTTGTCATTGTTGCTGTTGCTATTGTTCAAGTTGTTGTTTTTGTCGTTATTGTTTGTGTGGTTGTTGTTTGTTTTGTTCATGTTGTTGTTGTTGTTATTGTCATTGGTGTTGTTGCTGTTGTTGTTATTGTTGTTGTTGTTGTTTTTGTTGCCGTTGTTGTTGCTGTTGTTGTTGCTGTTATTGTTGTTGTTGTTGTTGTTGCTGTTGCTTCTGTTGATGCTGCTATTGTTGTCATTATTATTGTTGTTGTTGTTATCGTCATTGTCATTGTTGTTGTTGGTGTTGTTTTTGTTGCTGTTTTGGTTGTTATTATTTAAACTATTGTTGTTGCTTTTCTTGATGTTGTTGTTATTGTTGTTGTTATTGTTATTGTTGTTGTTGTTGTTGTTGTTGTTGTTATTATTGTTGTCGTTGTTATTGTTGTTGCTGTTGTTATTATAGTTATTGTTGTTGTTGTTGCTTTTGCTCTGCTTTTGCAACTGTTATTGTTGTTGTTGTTTCTTCTTCTATTGTTGATGTTGTTGTTGTTATTGTTGTTGCTGTTGTTATTGGTACTGCTGTTGAAGTTGATTCTATTATTCTTGTTGTTGTTGTTGTTGTTGTTGTTATTGTTGATTTTATTGGAGTTGTTGGTGGTGGTGGTGGTGGTGGTGGTGGTTGGTGTTACTGTTGTTGTTATTGATTTGTCGTTGTTGTTGCGGTTATTTTTGTTGTTGTTATTGTTGTTCTTGTTACAGTTGTTGA